AGTTATCGTTTCAGAGGGGTTTGGTAAACAAATAAATCTACCGATTGTTTACCAAACCCCTCTGAAAGAGAAAACCTAATGTTTATGAGAAAACGTGAGGAAGTTGATCCCTCGGTTATCAGCGAGCCGTGCACAAGGCTACCTTCTGGTTAAATAGCAGTTTGCGATCCTAAGCTGAATAGTGGATACTCGGTTCTCGCACGGATCCTGTACGTATTTACAACGACTTAACCTTCCAGATGTGCTCGGTGTTGATGACAGCAAAATGTGTTACTGTCAAGAAAATGACAAATGACTTGACAACAAAGGTGCAAATAAAAGTTCTGTTTCTATTTTGAACGCATTCTACTTCCAACCGGGTTATCTTACCAGTGTCCACCTCGGTATGTCGATAAGGAAAGCCATAGGTGTTTCCACAGTCTACAATTCACGCACAAAAAACAAGTTCTGGGAGAATTATGGGGGAAGCAACATCAGGGCAAATAGTTTACCAAAATTCCTCTCTGCGCGGAAGGTAGATGGGCGTTGGGCAAACCACATTAAATTGTTGTTCCTATTCAGTAAAGATCAGACTTCCACGGCGAAACAGAGTTTTTAATTTTCTTAATGTGAAACGATGTGTGAACAATGAACTTTTAATTGCGCGCACGCAATACGTTTGTTGACGTGCTCTGAGGTGACGAGAGATGGGAACAATGGAAGTTGCGCTTGTTGCCAAAGCTGAAAAAGGAAACTGTGGTGGTCTTACCACGTCTAAACATGTCTGGTCGATCAAAACGTTTGCACATGCGTCAGCTGTTTAGATAGAAAAATTAACGGCGGCAAAACAGGACAAATATACATTTCGGATGAGTACCCCTTACTCCAATCATTCAGTTGAAAGTTCACTGCACTGTCAATTCGTAGAAACACTTCGAAACATGGCAGCAAATTTCACCACCAGGTCCCGGAATTTGAAAGTTCAGTTCATCTTTTGGATTTCAAATCGGCTTGTGTTTTCACGACTTCCGCACTTCCAGACCCAACTTTGGCTAGATTTACCCGTTGTGCCAAGTTACGTCAAACGGCAATACAGCATTCATTACTTTATCGCAGAAAGAACTTAACTGCATCGAAAAAATAAGCTTAAAGGAAGCTTTTCAACGCCGATAATGATGATGAGCTTCTCTGATCGATTGAATCCGGTATTTTAAAAAATGGAGATCTCCACTGATGTGACCCAATATAGATTGGTCGGCGGCCCACTTCTTAAGCCAAAAATGTTATAGAGTCCGCCTGCCATCCATAGATTAACGGAAAAGACGTGTAATTTCCTAGGCCTAAGGTAAGATTCTAACACTCCTAGCACTCCAAAATTTGCAATTTTGGGGTTCTGCTGGATAACTATTCTGTTCGTAGTCAAACCACTCTCGTTTGAAAGGCCGTCATCCTGTGCTGGCCTAATTCTTCCGGTGAGTCCACACCAAAGGGAAGCACTGGGCTCGAGTCTTGCTCTTGTTAGAGTTCAGTAGCGCTGCGTATCCAATGGCCGTGCCGGGATTCGACCCCCGGGCATCTAACATGCGAGGCGAGCGTGGAAGAACTAATCCACCAACGCAGGTTGAACGCATCTGAATTTTCATGTCTGAACAGGCGAACGTGTTCACAATTGAGCGATGGGATTGTCCAACCCGTCGAACAACGACCCAGTAACTGTGTTGCTTATGACGATCGATTGACCCGCTCGCCTCTCATGTCAGATGCCCGGGGTTCAAATCCCTCCACTGCCATTGGATTTGCACTGCTGACGAGCTCTTACAAGATTGAAACTTGAGTCCAATGCTTCTCTTTGGTGTTGACTCACCGGAATAATTACACCAGAACAGGAGGACGCCCGTTCAAACGAGAGTGGTGTGACTACGAACACTCTATAAATGTTTCTGTCAAAGTTTTCACTAAACTTACAAGTAATGTATTACGAGATATTGCAGTAACTTCTTCAAGGGACCCAACTCCCCCTTATCAGTGAATGCCTAATAGTCCTACCACTTAGGTTCAAAATGTCTACGAGTAATGGAAGTATTGGAACGCGAAATCAAACGGCCGTAACTCATCAAACTTTTATCATTGTGATTACGTGGCGCAGACTTGTGATTTGGCGTCTCTCTGCCTAAAGCAAGTGAGAGGGTTCACACAAACAGATAATTCATAAAAGCACAATTAGGCCTCAGAACGAAAAACGGCAAACTAAAAAGAAACCTGAAGCCGAACTACGGCGAGCATCATGGCAGCTACCGATAGCTGTTGGTCATCACTACATGCCACTTCTCCAGCCAATCACAGAGCGAAAATCAAATGGAAGAATAAACGGCTCTCCGTTAGCCTCTTGTAAAGAACATTCAGAAACGAACAAAACACAGAGACAGAGAGCGATAGCGCACATGTTGCAGATAATTCATTCACCGCAAATGGTGGTAACGAAAGAGTAAACGTATACTCTGTTACGTACACGGTTGCAAAATCTTTGACGCTACTGGGAACCTGTTTCTTCTCCGAGACCTAAATTCAGAAAAAGCTGAAGACGCTCTAACTCGATACACCCCTAATACATCCGACAGACCGCCAAAATAGACGTACTTTGGTCAGGGTGATTTTAAATTTCCATCAATGAGTCTCTTGTGCCCGGCAATGAGTATTGGCCATCATCAAGCAAAAAGATAGGAAAGTACAGCAGAGCATTTGGGCTAAAAAATAAACAAAACGCTGGGTAAAATTTCCTATAATTCTCAATTAATTCAAAATTAGAGGCGTAGCCACATTACCATGGAATGTGGCGTAAACCATATGCTGTAGGGCTCCGGGAAGACGCCGTGATTACTTGTATTTAACCCATGTTACAAACGAAGGAAATGCAATGTTGAAGCAGGCGATATTATTTTTGTGTATTATTACAGGCCAACGATTATAAACAAGAAAATCGATAAGCGTTCCCTTCTCTGAATTTTCGACTGGTCTTCATGTCAAAATTTCGTGGGAAACTAAAAAGAAACTTGCCATAACGTTATTGATTGCCGGTTGCTGGATGGTTATTTTCGGTGATATTTGAGAAGATATGTAACATGAATCAAAGTTGTCAGTTCACAGCAGTTCACAAGTTTATTTTAGATGCCTTTAGTCAGTGCGATTGTGGCTTCCATCCACCAAACGGGTTAAAGTTTGCTGAGTTGACTGCGTGTAAAGGCACATTTGTGCGACCTTGTTCATGTTCAAAATTAGGGTTTGCTGAACAGTGTTACTTGGCGTGAATGGTGAGTGGAACTGCAAAGATTCTCATCTTTGGTTGCCTCGCTGTATGCCGCTATACAAGGGAAAGAAATTCCTTGAGGTTGATTTGACGTGATTTTTCTTTTGGCAGAATGCATTGCTTTCGTGGCCTTTCAGGACGAACAATCGCATCTGTGTTTCCTTCTTCGTAACTCTACTCCCCGAAGACACTGTGAGCGGTGTGCACAAAAACTCCGGTTCGTGAGATTTGGCGAGATAAGCGATAATCGCGCACGTTGCGTCTCATCGGTTTTTTTGCAAAATTAGCATCCTTCACTTTGAAATTAACTTTTTATCACGACATGACATGCAAAACCTTCTGCGCAGTTGCTGTCAGAGGACCACCTATCCAAACACATGTTAAAAATGAATCAGGATACAAGACAGAAATATCATTGTGCATTTGCTAGAGCCTTGATACATTTTACGGGAAAGTAGTGTCGGCAACGGTGGACTTAATACATCTATTTGTGCCCGACAAATTTCCGTTCCAGGTGATAATCCCCAGGATGTGCTCTCTATCCAACTAAGGTTTTATCCAACGATTTAGGTTTAATCCGATTAAAAGCCAGGAAGCATTGTACAACTGTTTCGCTCTTGTTAAGAATGGCCAGCAGTACACAATTTGTGATTGTCGTGACCTTCAGGAGGAAATCTTTACTAAATCTATCCGAATGCCACATAACCACGAATTGATAATCAGCTCAGTCGAAGGATGTTTCCCATGGATTCGCGAAACTCCCCTCTGAAAACTTGCCACTCGAAGAGCCAGCCCAATCGACAGCATGTGATACGGTTTCAATTACCGAAGGACGAGTGGTTTGGGGGCTTATCACGATTATGACCAGTAACTCTTGGCTAAACGGCGTTGAACAATTGGACGGATGTTCATTGGTTCAATACTTTGAGTTTTGTGAGGTACACACTGTAGACCACGATATCTCAGCGAAATCGAGCACTCTCATTTCCAATAAAAGCAATGCACAGCAGATGGAAAACCACTTTGGTATCGTAACACTCGGTACGTCATGCAGCGCTTCATCAGACATTTCGGGTAGGGTAACTGCAACGCGTAATTCGGCGCTTTATTGTACTCCAGAATTAAAATTTGGACGTATTTCAGATTAATTTATCACCCAAGTATTTTTTTTCAAACAAAAACAGTTCATACATGAGTCGGTTAATTGTGTCAGCTATGCTAATGACTCCAATCAACCCGTTAGTCTGGGTCTTGGTCAAAGCGTTTCCCCTACAGGCTACCTCCGTGCCAGCAAGCGGTACACTTTTAATGGGGGTGTCACCCTTCCCTAAAGAGCTAGACAAAATTTCCGGGGCTTCACAGATTTGCTGCTACATCCTCACTTGTGTCACAAAGTTCACGTTGCTCACGTTTCAGTGAGCAAGGCTGAATGGGATTGTATTGGGTAAACCTCATGTATTAGATTACAGATGAACTAAAGCCTTGGCACACGAAAACTAAGATTTGGTGCATTTTATCTTCGTAGTTCAAAAACGTATGTTGCGTAAATTCACTAGATTCGAGTCAGTGGGACAGCTTGCACTCAAAACACTAGACCACCAAGTCGATTGTCCGAATTCACAATTCACCCGTAAACGATACAGTTCACTGACGATGAACATCAAACGTGTTCCGCTCCGACATAACCTATAAAGTTCTAAGGTTGAATAGATCTTCTATGATTGTGCTCATCCAACCCAACGAGATGCACCTGTTCGTCGTAACGATTTTAGGTGGACTGCTATGTTCACAAGTTTTTGGTAGGTTTGCCAGTTTACCTTACGACCAGATCGTTCCATAGGCTAAGTTTCATGCTGCTTGCAAACCGATCTGAAAGCATTTTAAGCGACATTTTCCTGAGTTACATAATTGCACTTCGTCAGTTTTCTTTTCCAGAAATGCTTGCGTTACTAGTGACTGAGCAGCTTAGGGACACTGTGTGAAACACTTACTTGATCACAACAATGGAAGCTTGGCTCACTGACGCCTCAGATGTTTTTATGAGCACTGTTTCAACAGACTCCTAACAGATTTCTGAATCACGTTCTTTTTATGCAATAGAATGCTAAACGAGTTGCAGGAATGTGAATAGTGAACTTTCACATTCATGTAACTGGCGATTTTTGAGGGACACAATGTTGGTTTCGACTTAGCGCTATAGTGACCCATCTAGTGCATCATTTTATTTTGCGTTCCGGAAGGGTTCTTACATCTCACAAAAGTGATGTAGTTGTATCTTACTTGCGCATTGTCAGTAAAACTACAAATAAACTGGTACAAAGATGCGATTCCGCATTGTGTATGGAGTTTATGTGTCTGAATTGCAAATTGATGATGCATCTGCGTATTGATGGACCGGACCAGTTCATGTTTAGACAACCACCAGTGAAGGATAATTTTAGCCAACGGCCAAGTGTCCGAAACATTTGAAGTCCCAACTTCACGTTACGCTGCCACTGAAGAGTTGTCCCTTCTGTTGTTATTGGATGCAATTTGCATGATACGACAAAGTCACTCAGCTGCCAGATCCACATTACGAAATCCTGTGAGATTGCATTCAGGTTGCGATTTGTAACATTATTCTATATTTCACTGAAAATTCCGTCAATACTGAAATGCTCAGCTGACACGGGAATCACAAGTTCTTGGCACGAAGGTTTTGTGAGAGATACATACAAGAGACAAAAAATCACCTAAGAATTTCTATACTTTTCAGCGCGAATTGAATTAAACAACAGGTAAAACCTATCGTTAAAATTGCAAAGCTTCTCATAATTAGATCAATTTTTAAAAAATTATTTTCATCCCATACTCAGCAAAATGAATTATCATTGTTTTGATAAGTAAAATTAAATCTCCACTGTATTATTTTGTGCAAGCATTGTTCGTTTCGTTTCCCAGGTAATCCTCAACTTGATTCTCTTCGAAGCGATCAAGCTGGCTTGAACTCGAAAGAAGTTATCCACAATTCAAAGGAATCATCTTTAAATGAAGAAACCCAATCACATGGTGTTGCGAATACGGATGTTCACAACGCCGATCTGGAAGATGAAGAGCATACCGCTGAAGCCAATGATCCTGCTTCAAAATTGTCTGCGCATTTTTTTGCTGGTTCCCAAGGAAAAACTAAATTCTCACCCCCGAAACCGGATGCATCTAATTTACAAAGCATCAGTACTCGTCACACAAAAAACTCCGCCGAGCCTGCGATAGGATGGAAGCGGAGTTTCCGCAAGCCGCGTAAACGTACACAAGCCGACGGTCTTTCTAAACCGACTCTTAAATGTCCCTGCACCTACAAAGAATTGAGAGTCATAATGAACGTATTGGAAAAGGCTGAGTACGTCTTAGAAGACACACTGCTGTTTTTGAAGCGTACCAGAGGGCTTGAGAAAACCATCTCGAATCTATTGGACTCTATGGATCGCACACTTCGTGGCACATGTCTGCATGTGTAATTGTCCGACATACTTGGGATTTTCTAAAAGCCTGCGTTATTTGAAATTTATTCATATTTTCATTTTGAAAACACGAACAGGGTTGTTTATTTCCAAAGTAATGGGCTTACATTTGCAAAATGCATCAGGCTGGGATAAACAGTACAACGGGGCTGACAAGTGGTACGTTATCACAAACACCCAGAATGAAGTCAGTATAATGTGCCCTGCATTGGAATAACCGTGGGATTCATAAAATGTGGTACTTAGAGTGAAAGTGGGCTCAGGCGTACAAGCATTATTCAAAAAACTCTATGGGATTTATCACACTGTGAGTATTCGCTCAGCACTTATCATTCGTCTTTTAGATTCCTTTCACGGAGAACACGGATTCATAACTACTTTCCGAAAAGTTTCGACAAACCGGATCCAGGCAATGACATCGAAGAAAGCTCAAGTTGGCACATCTTGAATAGCTGACAATTTTTGACAGTTTTCTTTGAAAGCTTGTTAGAAGTTACTGGTTGGTGAACCGTTTTAGTGACACAAACAATGTCGGCAATACATTCGATTCAAATTGTTGACTTAATGACGAAACGAAATTTGAAAGTAGTGCAAGCAGTAGCTGGAGAGGGAGGATGGTAAGGGCAACAAATTCGGTGATGACATCCTGGGTGTCACGGAAGAGAAACATGTGTCTGTCAAACAGTCAATGATCTAACCTGGTCATGGAGACGAATCCGAACAATTTTCTAGTGAAATGATGTGTGGATCAGCTATGATCGATTCATAACCCGTGAAAGATTCACTCATGCTTATGTTTTACGCAGTAAACGACAAAAGCAAACTAACATCAAGAACTCTCCAAAATTAGTGACTCGTGCAGCGAAAATTGCTATAAACAGAAAGAAACTATGTCGAAAGGCAGGGGGATTCTAAATACACAATGCTCGTTTCACCGCGAACCTATTCGAGGCAAGTTCTAAACAGCAAACTCTTAGGATACAACCCAAACTCCAGCATGCTAACCGCAACAGACTTAACGCCATTGAATCGAAGAAAACTAATGTATTATAGTTGCAAAATCCGTGTGTTAATTCTGCGAAAATTCCCAGGAGTGTGTGCATGGAGTGAAGATATTGCTTTCTGAATGCGTCTGTGGCTAAGTTGTTTCTCACGATACATAATCTCATAAAATGTACACTTAGCCACGGGGGAGGTGACTGTTCTTTGTATAAAAAACAATCGGCTTTATGATAAGGCGAGTCCAATTAACGGTGCAAGTGGATGTGATAAGTAATCGGGAAATTCTACTAATCACGTAGCTTCTATCCTTCCGACCATGGCTTGCTGGCCATTAATCGAATTTTGCGTGACACTGGGGCATCCCGACTAAACCAAACACACCAAGCCTCCGACATAAGCAAGTAGATATCCTTTAAAGGGTGATTCTCAATCGCAGTCGATGTACACGTATAAAACATCTCAACGCAGAATATATCCTGTATGTGTCACCATGCGTTCTTTTTATTTTTCTTGGAGTGTTTCATGAAAACCAAATAGTTCAATCCCGCCCAATCCTAGATATCAGTCATGAAAGATGGTCCTATTACGTGCACGTTTCGTCATACACCACGTCTCCCGACTAGTAACCTCTCAGGAAGGCACAAGAATATAAGCTGAGAAATAATGCCCAATTATTGTTGTGGCCCTAATATATCGCCAGGCACTCCTGGATGAGAACGAAACCTGGGTTGCAATACAATTCAGTTTAATACATGAGGAGGCTACAGGAAAACCGACAGACGCGTATCTCCTTATGTCGCTAGTTTTCGCTTGTTTCTAATGGGTGGATTACACAATTGGAGTGGCACTCACAGTTAGTAAATGACTCAAAGTGGTTAGATAACCCCCTCGAACTGTGTGCCTGCTTTATACAATGGTTCATTCTCACTTCTGCGTTATGTCGCGTTTGTGATATTCTACACCATTCAGTTGATCACACCACCTTACTTCGCTCATTTTACGTGAAAATCTGTTCAGAATAGTATACATATTTGTAATAATAATACCAATAATTCTGCTAGAGAAGTATAGCTCATCTGAGGCAAAAACACGTGCATCAACATCCAGGTGAGGTGGGGGATCATGATGAGTTTGCGTGAAGGCCTTCCAATTAAAATCCATTAAATTAGAAAAACTCCAATAACGATCACCAGCATTTTTCACATTTCATGATAAGTTGCACGGTGAATCATGTTTGTCGCTTCTTCTATTTTTCGACCAACTGATAATTATTCCATTTGAAAAACTCGCTGCGTTTGTTCAGATGAAAAACCAAAAGTGCGTTTGCGGTAGGTGAATAATTCCCACATCCAAATTATCCGCTTGGAAGGGGTACACAAAAGTTATTTGTTCCTACAGTCGAAGAATATTTTGACGGACTATTTGTTTGTGGAATAATAGCGGTCCGAAAAACTATTTTGAGCTTCTATCCAGTCAAAGAGAATGACCATCGAGTATTATTTCCCGATTCGTTTAAAACCTTAGAACAGCTTTATTGGTTCTGTGAATCAGCACCCACCGTGGAGTTGGACACTGTACTTCAAAATGGGTTAATTGGATCTTGGTCATCGGCTGAAACAGTGTTATTAGGTCTTAACATATTATTCAAAATGACGTTTGTATGAAAATTTCGACATTTAGATTTCCAGCAGATGATGTAGGATCATCCCGGACAGAAGCGAATTTTGGTGATGTTTTGCTTTAGAGATCCACCAGAGCCTGAGCTGTTTCGTCCTGCTCTAAACGCCAACGCTCCAGTGTTCAATATAACTGTCTAATGTGTTTCGAAGCTGGGCTTCCCGTATGCAGCTGATCACTGTTCATTCGACCACGATTTACCCGCCATCATGCTTATTATATGCAACACTCGGGTGATGCCACCATCTCAAAAACCTATGAATTTCACCAGGCGTTCTCTAAGTAGCACGATCGAAAAACAGATAAGCCACATAGGATCCTATTTGTCATACTAGAAAGCTAGTCCAGTTGTGGAAAAATTAAGTTCTTACCCAATAAATGTCTCCCGACCCATAAACTATGTCACAGTAGATGAACGTAAGATGTGCAAGAATACTCAAAGTGTGAATTTAGCTGTCCAGAAACTCCATGGCTGAATGACCAAACTTCCGTCACCGACCAGTAACATGGAGGATTGGTCCAACAACCAAAAATTTGACGGAACACTTGGTGTCCGACAGTTAACGTCAACAACCGGGGTCAATGGTTCTATCTTAAACTGTATTCGACCGCAATGCCAACGGCACTACCAAATATCGCTTAATAATTTAGGTTGGAATGAAGGCCCCGGGTATGACCCTGCTGGATACTATCAGTAGTCTCACGTTAAAGACGAATACGGGCTTCACTCAAGCGGAGTTTTACCAGAAGCATTGCATGTCATCTCGGAGCTAGACTGATTTCCCATTTTTTCCACAAGAACGTGTGGTCCATACTAAATTCAAAGTACACGACGGGCCATTTCTTTGATTCTAGTATTGTCACAGCTTTCAATCGGCAATTTGGTTCGTTTTTTCAAGCGTGTTTAAACGAGGAACGCGTTTTCTAATGAATTGCATGAAATACAACGGAAGAACTTTTCGCAAATCGTGGTTTCCAGCAAAGGAAAACGGGAAAGTCACAGACTTGAAAAGCGCGGATGGTGATTTGGTTTGACAGGGAGCTGTCAGGTCCATTATTTGTGCATGTCAAGCTGTTAAGAGCCCCATGTAAGCGTATTTCTATCAACTGTTATGCAACTGAGCGCCTACTTTAAGACAAAATTGAGTTTTAATTCACTACCATTTGAAAAGAATGACGGGGAACAATGTACCGGCTACTATTAATTGCCTTTCAAGACAAGTGGGCGGAAAAAAAACGATACGCCACTCTTGAACTGTTATCTCCGAGTGTCTTAATGATATCAGTTTAAAAGCATAAATTTAGGAAATCACAGACCTGTAAATACAAGTTGCATCCGGTGCGCCGAACTGCTGCCCGTCTATCAGGTTAGCAAAACTTTTGTTACCCAACACACACACGGTTATACAATTCGGGAAGCATTAGTAAGCGATTAACTACTTGTCGCTCGAAACACTTAAACCATTTATCACTAATTTGCAGTAAGTTTGCAAAGTGTGCAACATAGTGTGATTTACCCGGACACTATCAATAAATTACACCAAGTGTACCGTCATGAATATATATCGCTTAACTAACTCCTCTTTATACAATAAATTAGCGACCAGAGAACGTAGAACGTTTGTTTCAAAATTTACTATCAAATATTTCTCACAACCAGTTTATATGCACCCGAAACTCGGAAAATTGTACTTGTTGTCACACAGTATCCACTCAGTAGTTTCGTTAACTGCAACAACTTCCGAATAAGCCGGCAAATGCCTCTAAAGAAACAGGAATAACCACCCAATTTTACGGTAAACTGACACAAAGCTATGTGAAATTTTGGTTTGGATGCTCTTGGCACACAACTGACATCTTCATACATTCGCCCCATAATAGCTTGTTAAACGTACGCTTTGGTACTCACATTATGTTTCTGTGACCATTAGCTTAGCACGGTGAGTGTGGGTAATCACATCGTGATGTCGCATAAGGCAATATAGTTGTAGAGTGATTCGGTTGAATCTTGGAACTAACTTATCCCCCGTATAAATACCGGAAGCTAAAACAAGGAGTGACGTGAAATAATTGATTCCAACGAAAAGCGAACAACCTAGTTGTTCAAAATGATCCACGGGGAGCCACCAAATCGTTTGCAGACTTTTTGCCCAACGTAGCAGAGTTGAACTCAACTAGCCAGCTAATCCTATTTCGAAGAAGCCCAATGTCTTTCACGAGAGACCTAACTGAATCTCTGGTTTATGAGTAGTTTTCTTTATGAAAATATACTCAATATCTCGGAATATAGTGCCAACTGAATTATGAGACGGCCTGTGTGCAGCACATTCAGTTGTAGAATATCATAAACGAGAAATTCCGTTGGGTCCCTCGTGAAAACCAACTTGATTTGCAAATGAGTGTATTTCTCGAAAACAGTCCAATTTGGGTTCAACTAGAACGTAAGATTGACGGAAACTCAAGGACTGCACGTAGCAGATGAGTCCCAAGAAGGGCGAAACCGGTCGTGGACTGTCGAAGAGTTTCCAGCAACCTTATGAGTATTTCCCTTTATGAAAAAGAAGTCCAATGTCTCCTTGAAGGTTAGGTCCTCCTGAATTTTAAACAAAAAATGTTGGCATGAAAACTGCAACCCGGTGGAATATTTATAAATGCATTTTTGCTGAAATTTTGCCAAAAGCATTACACGTCGCCAGCATCTTCTTATTTTATTTAATTTGAGCCGTGGAAGCTTATTCACAACTACACATTGTTTCATGGCCAGATTTTTGCATTTTTGACTGAATTGCTCAGAGTTTGCTTAATGTGACAAAAAGAAATTCGGAGGAGGATATGTTGAATCATGCAAAGGAGTATTCCACATTGTCTAGTTGGGTTAACTTAAACGTCACGCACAATTTGGTCTTGGCAGCCAAGCCATTCTCGGCGCTCTAGTAACAGATGGCACAAGATTCCTGGCAATAATCGATACGAGGACGATGAGTGCTCCACACTCAATTGCCCATTGTTGAGCGACGTGAGACTCATAAGGACAGGTTTCGGGTTGAATCGTTTGAGTCATCCGAGTTGTGGACCCCGTGTCGACCAGCTCATTCAATTCGAAATCCAAAAGCTATCACTTTTCTATTGAAACCCAAGAACCAAAAAAACAACTCAGAATCTACACAGCCATGTACAAGTTAGACTTGTGTCATTTTTTTGTGTGAGATAAGGTGCAAAATTTACAGGTTAGTTTGCAAAATTAAAACTGCACAGTAACAGATTGCATAAAAACTGCGAACTGGAATTCGTTGCATGCCATCTTCGAACTTGAGAATATGTGTCATGGAAACTCACTAGATTGAATTCGGTGAAACATTTCACATTCAAAAAAATATTCAGCTTCTCAGCCGAAAACGTTACAAGCTGTTGATAATAAAAACTAGATGAATTCCGCTCTACCAAAACCTATAAAGTTGTGTTGTTTGGATGAATTACTCCAACTGTAATCATCGATTGCGACAAGATGAACCTGTGCGTCGTGACGATTTTTGGAGGGCTGCTCTGCTCACAAGTTCTGGGTGAGTTTTGCAGTTTGATTTGTGATTTATACTTCACGTGCAAAGCGCTTATATTTAATGAGTCCCAAGCGTTTTCCGAAGCATTTTCAAATGGAGTGTTTAATTACGTGATCATTCCGTGAAGATACTGTATAGAATTACACCAGTTCAAGTGTTCTAGAAGGACTCGTCGATCCGTACTGTCTGCCAGCGTCTTTTTAGATCGCTTTTTCTGGTTAACAAGAAACCAGCAATGACCAAAACGATATCAATTAGTGTTGAAAAATATAGTTATGAATAAAACATTGAATGATCCCAAAAACAACGCTATAAAACGTCGTGCAAAAAAGCCTGTCTAGAGAATTATTATCAATCTGGTTAAAACCTGGGCTTCGAAAATTTATGTGGTGATTGACTACAATGGGGGAACACCTAGTAATCTGTGTTCTTGAAAGCTTCAGTGATTCGAAGTAGAGACTGTGCTTTCTGCAAGTCTTTCATTTTTATTGGATACGTAACTGTGCTTCAACGTATGCGGATAATGTATGATTCCTGCGACAGGAATGGCGTTTGATGAGCGTCACTCCTCCAACCCAGGCAGTCGATGTCCAAAAATATTCACAAAGGCGGTGAAGAAAATTTTGTTTTATTGGTTGTCCCCGGGAATTTCTACTCCCATACAGTTCAGCACCTTTTGAATACGTCCAGTTCCAGTGCATAAAATTATACCAAATGTTAGTCGAGATCTATGCAACTCATTGAAGGCAGCATTTGGCGCGAAAACTACGGTGGACAGGAGGTGATGCTTTGGTGTACCCCGAATTATTATGATCTATATCTGTATGCGTTTCTCAACTCTGGGGTTACTGATAGAATTTTGTTTCGTAGAATGACTCTAAATACCTCTATTCTACACACACTCTATTTTGACACACGTAGAGATATAGGTCATTGTAACTTTATGTTTTAGTATCGCCTACCTGAGTGAAAAATTGTCCTCTGTAGAGTAACATCTTCAAAGCTTCTCCGTATTTGACTTACAGGCAACCCTCAACTGAAACACTTCAAAAAGGACCAAATTGACTTGCACTCGAACAAAATTATACACATCTCGGGCGAGTCCTCTGCGAACGAAAAAAACGGTTTGCCAAATTCAGGGGATGAAAGCCCAAAACTGAAAGACAAAACCACAAATGCGGATGTCAGTTCCATGAAACAAAATAAATCCTCAACCCCAAACACACACAAAGCTGATTCCCAAAAACCGGGTAATAAAAATTCAGGAGACAACATAGATCGTGTAAAAATATGGAGACCGAAGTTCGAGGTTTTAGGAAAGCCACCCACAACCGACATTCCATCCAACGACCCTGATGTGGGAAAGCCATCTGGATGTCCGTGTACCTACAGTAAGTTGAGAACCCTCGTGAAGTCGTTGAGGAACGCTGAATACGTCTTGGAGGACGTGTTGCTCTATTTGAGGCGAACACGAAAACTCGAGGAATTCGTTTCAAGTACGTTGAGCTCCATCGACCGATTGCTTCGTGGGAAAAGTGCGCTCATGTAGCAGTTCCACCCACTTGGTGTTGCACGGAACTATTCTCATTTGAACTGATTTTCATAACTGATGTTCCGAAAGCTTGTGTTTACCAAGAAAACTCAAAAATAGTGACGCATTACAGTTTTTGCATTTTCAAGACCAATCGCATTGCATTATACCGAAAAATGTAGCTCTCTGATGGAGCAATAATGGAAACAACCAGAGTGAATCAAGCACATTGCTTGTCACGTTCTGAACGCCCTCAGTCTCCAACTGTTTTCATTTAGTAAGAAATTACTGTTGCATAGAGAGGTCTGCGATGGTACCGCAGTAATCACAATGATATCGGCAGTTCTTTTGTCTCTCGAAATTTACTTCAGCAATGGTTCCTAACCAAGATGCTTTCAGAATAACTGATGCAGGTTTTTTTGATTTTGTCATCAAAATAAAAAGTAACAGAGCAGAGTAGCTCTTCAACATCTTCCAGCCTTTCAAAAATACTGGTCAATTGGTTCACGCTCCATTCGAAAACATAGAGCATTAGAAATTTGGCTAAGTTGCTACGCGAGTTCACATGGACGTGATTCGGCACTGAAACATCGCATGAACACAACTCTGATTGTGGTGAGCCACCAAAAAACAGCAGATATCGTAGACTAGTTTATTTTCCGGAATACTCAGTCCATGTTGAACCACAAAAAAACAGGCCAGTGTATTGGCTGTTGCGTCATGGCTGGGAAAACTTGTATGTACTTTTACAGTCATTTATTTCATATCATCAGTCCATTTCGACGTATTGCTTATGTACAATGAAGCATCCGATTGGTGCTTCTGGATCATGATGGATGACGTTTTTCAAAACCACCCTGACTTGTCGTGAAGTAATTTAATTTCATTTGAATACGGTCACCTTGTGGTAATTTGCCTGCCGTGTCTGACAAAACTCGATCGAAGTGGAACACATCACGAATAGTCCGACTAGAAGGCAACACACGGGGACCCAATACGAGGAAGGAAATAAAGCGTCCTTGCCGCATTTCTGTCAACTGACTGCAGTTGAGACGATTAATAGTTTCGCCAGGTGAATTGATAAATATATGATCCGACAGAACTGATTGGGCCGGACATACTGACCTATTCATAAAAACTGATCTAGTATTATTTGATATTTTATTTTCTTCCCATACCTAACCAACTCGAGCTTCACTATCGAGAGCTCTGAATTTAGTCTTCGGTTGAATGCGTGTGCACTTCTGGGAGTCAAGAAAAACTCCCCTATTTGTGAAAAAATGTTTCTTTTTTGCATATAATATTTAGTAACGGAATGTTCAAGCGGTGCAATTAAAAATTCGGAGCACCTTGAAGGAAAATGAATGGACGATTCTACCAGTTCCTTCTTGACTGCTAGTCGTTTCGGGTGCGAGAAACAATTAGCCTTGAATACTGCGATCATAATAAAAGGACGTGCGCGCGACAAAGTTGTATTCTAATCGCATAATGTTCTTGAGCGAATTTCCAGCCACATCTATTGAGCACAGACTACGTGCTGTATTTAGTTTCAAAATCCCAGTTGTCCGGTAAGCCCTGGACTCTGTGCGGAGCTAGCGGTGTTCTGTTCCTCACGCCTTCCCTCGCACTGGGTCGAACCTTGGCAAAATGGACTGGACGCGAAATTCCTCACGTGTTTCGTTATGTCCTAATCAGATGGGCAAGTTACTGGGGTTCAGAACCAAACCGTAGTTTGCGGTTATTATTGACTGCGAAGTATGTTCGGTCCATCAGATATCGGTATGTCTCTGAATTACTATTCGGTACATCCTGAAAAAGCTCAGAACGCGATTTTTAGTTCATTGCGATGATTCAATGACTCAATAATCTTACCTACTTGGCTGTAGGGGGCCGGCATGGCCCGAGGGTGCAGGAAGTAGGGTATTACTGTCTCACTCCTGATGCAGCTGCGCACAGCAGGTGCCTTTCGAGCCGCACCGGATTGTTTGGTTTTAAGGGTATTTCGACCGTAGTGGATAATGCGCCGGCGGTCACTGTCAACCGTTGGGCGATCGGAGTGTGCGGTTTTTTGGGCCGACCTTTTCTAACCTGTCCTTATTCGATGGTAGGCAGCATCGCTGCTCCCCTTCACCATTAATCCTCATTCACATACAGATAACAAAATCTATCATCCGACAAAGGGTTTATTCAAAGCTGAAATTGAATCTACTGTCAACGGAAATGTGCTGCTTTGAGGAGTACCGTGGGTTTCAACGAATTACTTCGCATCGACCACGATAACGCCGTATGCGATTACGTTTTCTCTCTGGCAGTGATAATGGGAGTCATCGCGAATCGCGCGCGAGTCGTGCACTGTTCATTCAAATAAGTCGATCGCGAATTTACTGCGTGTAAAGTAGGCATGAATTTCTCAAAACAGTCACGTAATCACATCGTTCCTAGTAAAGATATTCGTGCGTTCTTTCGGGAGGGGCACGCCAACATTAGGAATGTCTTCAGCATCAGAAAATTTTCAAAGCCTGCCATAAAACAATCGTGTCTATAGAATCATAAACACAGACGTTTGAGAACAAAAGTTCCTCAAAATGATCACGCTCACACAACATGGCAAACTGCTCAGTACTTGTATAAACCAAGCTCTGAACCATGGCATCTCTAATTGTTCCTTGTGGTTGATATCCAATACAGGATTCCGCCACTCATCCGAACCCAGCAACACACTTCATTAATGAGTCGGGGTAGTGTGCCGGTGGTGCAGCTGTGCTTACCATTTCGGAGTTAATAATCTTGCCTACCAAAACAGGAAAGCAGAAACCTGAGGTGGGAAATTTCTCATGATGTAAAGCTACCAGAAAACCTGATCCTACTTTTGGTGATCCAAGAGGAAACAGGTTCAGCCAAACCCAAAAATGTTGAATCGAAAGAAGTTGGGTTTACTTACCTCGTAAAACTTATGAGATCTATAATTCTGTCTCCGTGTTGACGTCCGATATGATAGAATATCATCCACTTAAATTCAGCAATTTTCGGCGTGCATTCAATCTCCGGGTGGTTTCCGTGACCAGTGATATGTGCGCATCCTAAGGAAATGTATCCTCTACTTCATTCCAGGTCAGTCATCAAACGAAGATCACTAGATTTGTTGGGTTATTCGAATTGTATAAGTCGACTATTTAGAAAGAACGATAGGAATGTTGACGAGTGGAATTGCTAAACCGCGCACTCCAACGTTCAGTTCCATATTCTCGGAACGACGTGACTGCCTACCAGATTAGGGCACAGTACACAATATGTCGGTGCGTCGTGTTGTCTTATGATTGTGGACTATATTTTAAATAAACGCTTCTGACCATCATTTTGAAACGGCAGAATAGAATATAGGATTGAAACTGACCAATTGTGACGAGTGGCTTCTGAAAGACTTCAGCTGTTTGTCGTTTAAGTGCGTTGAGCTGAAGGCGTCAAACATAGTTATTCGCTCGCAAGATGCCATGCCAAATGTTTGATGTCCAAACAGATCTTGTTTAGTGAAACCCATGGTATATAGCACAGGGTGTGTAATTTCCAGCACGTATGCAGTGCTTGAAACTAAGACGGGAATGGAGCTTTAGTCAAAGTACACGATCGACTATTCCTTTCGTCCTGTTCAGGTCAAACCTTTCAATTGAGGAGTGAGTTTATGTTGGCGTAAGCGCAAAAATTATGGAGGTGTTATTTGGTGATACAGTAACAAGAAACACAAAGGATGAGAAAGTACGGAGTGCTTTTTAAACCGTGGCTAGTTGCAAAGGAAGAGGAAACAATAAAAAACTTGCAGAGTTCAGGCGATGTAGCTTGAGGGAGGACAGAGAAAAATGAATCTTGAAATGTAACCTGCATTATTTTTTAGCAGAAGGGCTTGTTAAGGACGTCAGTTCAAAAGATCAAAAGTGAATGCTTCACAAACTTTAGAAGCGACGGGCCGAATTCGGCTCGAAGAGTGTTAAAACGTTTGAGCACCACGGTTATCGGAACGTCGGATTACAACAACCTATACAACACGCTGTTATGATTTTTTAATAACTAAGTAAACTCCATAAAATACCAAAGCTGTCGATAAATTAATAATAATAATAACAATAATAATTACCAACAAGTATGGTCCCATGCACAACTGCTGCTCAGCAAATGTCTCGCAATTTCATCAACTGGCGAGCGTTCGCACTGGGGTGCACCGTCAGCCACTTTACTCAAATGATAAAATTCGACCAAGAACGGGAAATATTTGACTTATTGTAGCAAAGGGCTCAAAAAACGATGATTCCTTTAAATACATCACCACTCCGCCAAGTAGAGTGCTTCATACGTGCGTTCCAAAATATACCTATTCAAACACTTGCAGAAATGGCTCAAGGTGGTCATATATTTCATCGTTGCTTTGACGAAGAAAAAGCTGATCTAAACAACGTATTGATTTTTCAGGCGACTCACAAATCCGCCGCTTTCAAAGCGGCCAAACTAGGTTCAGCTCAAAGGAGGCTACCCGCAGTTCCTACGAATTACCTATGACTAAAAAACTGAATCACCTGCGGTTGCGAATATGGATGATTACATCATCAATCAGGGAGCAGCATACAACACTGGAATCATTGATGCTATGTTAAAATTGTCTACAAAACGAAATCCTCACTCCCAAGGTCGGATGCATCTTATTTACAAAGCACCAGTATGTATCACACAGACGACTCTGAAGAGCCTGCGAGAAGGCGGAAACAAGCTTTAACTTGGATAGCTAGACGCCCACCATTCGAGTGTCCACCTGAGGATGTCCAAGAAGAAAAGATCCCCAAATATCGGTCTAAGTTCAAGGAATTAGGAGCCTTCATAAGTGCGATGAGGGATACTCATTACATCTAAAAGAACGCAGTAGTTAATTGCAAAAGCAAGAAAGACCTCCAGACCTATTTGCATCGCACACACCTAAAAATGTAATCCTTCCGCGTAGTTGAAATTTACAGAAGTCGGTTTTGACACTCAAATTTGCAATGCGGCTGCTTAATTGAGTATTGTCACAATCAAACTGCGTGCTTTCAGAATAATGGTTTCTGCATTAAAATACCTTTGCGCCACACGAAACATGTGGTTTACAGAGAAAACGCTCAGAGTTGCATTTTCGAGTCTCCGTGTGAATTCCCTCCGAACTCTTGTGAAAATATTCGCCCAACAGTTACATTGAACTAGTTCCAAGCGAAGACACCAGGGCAAACCCAGATTGCCATGTCTTGAGTGCGCGATTACAGAACAAATGCTTGATTAGCCTATGTCACAATGTGTAGTTTATTTTCTCCAACAGTTAAGCGTTGCTTTACTTGTCCTCCTCGGTAAAAATTTAGGGTCAGTTGCACGAAAAAATTTAGGCTATATTCTTCACAAACTTATTTGATGCTACCCACGAAAAGGCATGAATGCTTCCAATCATCCGGACATCCATGATGTCACAGTGAAACCCAGCATAGAATGAAATACGAAATTAGTCCAAGCAGAACGAGGCATCATCGGGATAGCTCGAGGAGTTGGATGGTAAACGCAACGAATTCGATGGTAGTAATACAGGCATCATGGAAGAATGACAAGTTCCTGTGAACCAGATAGCGAACAATCAATGAGCAATGATCATGGAAACGAAATCAAGGCGAGTTCGAATCAGCAAACGTCCCGGATCAGTTGCTCGCAAATTGGAAATATATATGGGGATATAAACCAAACTCTGCCATGCTGAACACAGCAGACGGAAAACCACCAAATCAAAGGAAAATAGGAAAGTACGGTTGCAAACAACGGGAGTCAGTTCTTCGCAAATGCTGAGCAATGTATGCGTGAGTTCGCCTGATCATACACAAAGAAAATGGATAATGCTCCATGTTTTGCCGTCTGATGATGGATGGATTGAGAACCATTTACATTGAAGGAAAAATTGAGCAGTCTCAATTTGTTCCAAGATACAGTTCCAGATGGATAGCGTGCTTTGAAAAAAGACATCCGAGTTGGGTCATTAACAACTTTCGATCAAATAAATTAGTCACGATTTGACCGTCTACTTGCGCATTTCGACCGGAAACGTTACAGTCCGTTTGGTAATAAACATCAAAAGAATTCCGATGCGACAAAATGTATAAAGTTGTGATTGGGTAATTGAACATCATCATTCGAGTCACCGACTCCGACAGAATGCACCTGTACGTCCTGACGATATTGGGCGGACTTGTATGTTCACAAGTTTTGGGTGAGTTTGCCAGTTTCCTTTAGACGGGATCTCTCCACGAAGCTTGTTTTGCGTTGCTTGCAAACCGCATTCCTTGAGCCAGAAAATCTTCATATTTGTTATGACTCAGGCGTACTCAGCAACATTTTACGGGTCTTGGATATCATTGTCATGCCATATCATAGCAACAGCGCCTTTGTCAGACAGAGACATTGTGTAGAAGAATGCTTGATTTCACACATGGCAGTGCTTTCGCGCATTTCAAGTTATGATTTAACAAAGGACAGACGAAGGTCTCCCTGTTATATTGCGAAGCACGATCTTACTACTTGACAGAATAACGTATGAACAGCTCGTCTGGCATAGCGGTCGATCTCAGTCACGTGTCTGCTTGGTTGTTCTGGAGGAAGTTGGTGATCCCTTCTGGTTTCGACAGTTAAGCACCTAGCATTTCAATCAGTTGAAAACCGCTTGGAACCGATTGAGTATTCATCCGTAGTCATCTGGTAATTTCCAGTATATAATAGCAGCAGCTTTCCAACGTGAGCGTAGAATTCCGCAACCCTAAGTGCAACTTTCTTGAAGGCTGAGTTCCTGCAAGCTGAAATGCACAGAAGTAGCACGCTTACAGATTTCGGAATTCCTGAGTGTCTATCCCAAACTGAATTTACATCCGCGTGCTGCGCCTACATGATATATGGGCCAGTCCAAAAGCTTGCATCTCGTTGCATGATGCCCTGCGGGAGTTTCCTGAAACAGGCATTTCTGATGATCACTAAGCACGATCAGAATAATTTCAGGTGTAGTTAAACAATTCATCTGTGATCGTTTTGTGGACGTTTCTCCTGAATGAGGCTCGTGATATAGCTGCCTAGCACAGGCTATTGCAAATTATTGAGTCATAAAATATATCCCATCATATATTCCTGACAATGAATCAAGATGACCGTGGTTTTGACGCTCGCTTTTTCGAGTGAAAATGTTTTTACACAGTATCGCTCACAAAGATGATCCCCACTGGTTTTACAGGCAACCCTCAACCGAAAATCTTCCAAAAGCCTCACACTGGCCTCCACGCGGATACAGTTGTTCACAAGTCGAATGAGCTTCCTGTGGACGAACTAACCGTATCGCAAGCAGCTGTGAGCAAAAATGCTGAGCAAGAAGAAACCATCCCTGAGAATTTCGAGGCCACAAAGGAGGTGTCTGCAAACCCCTCGGTCAATAATTCAGAACAAATTGTACCCTCAAACGGGGACGCAAATGGGGCTGATTCACGAAGCCCTAGCATACACAACCCAAGATGGCCGATACAGCATGCGGAACGATGGAGGTCAAACGTCGATATATTACTTGAAAACCCGGACCCCGTCGTACTCAACGAGGATTCGGACGGGGATCTCCATCCTGGCTGTCCGTGTAGCTACGGTAAACTGAGAACCCTGGTCAACACTGTGAGGAATGCTGAATACGTCTTGGAGGATGTTATACTACATTTGAAGCGAACCAGAAAGCTCGAGAAAGTTGTTTCGGCCGTATTGAATTCTGTTGATCGCATACTTCGTGGGACACATCTACCCATGTAGTTCGCTCGATCACTTGAAATTATACCAGAATTATTTCCACTTGAAATGGGTCTCATGACGTTTTAAAAATTCGTTTCAGCAGAAAACATCATTTGCATTTACAGAACGTGCCGCATTGCTTGGAACTCAAAAATGGTATTGCCGATTGAGACACTGATGCAATCGAACGGATTGATGTTGGTAGATTGTGTATATGACTAGAATGACCTTGTGTCTCGCGGAATGCGATGGTTCCAGACATCGATTTTTGGCAAATTAACCACTCGCCTGTTTCGTAGAAAGGCTACATAGGGTGATAGTCAGTGAACTTTAGGCGTAGATATTGGGTTATCTGATAATGCATCTCACCAACTGAAACCCAGGCTTAATTTTGATTGCTGCATGCGTATTGCTTAGCTGGCATTTTGTCTCCATATTGGGTTTATTCAGAGATTCAATGACACCAGACACTTTGGAGGGGATTTTGTTCAACGGGGCTTTATGTTTGCAATTTCGAGGGCTTTAACAATAGGACAAAGAAAGGAATCAACATTTCAATATGGAATTGATGTGCAAATTCCAACCATGAACGGTGATTTATATGCATATCATTAAACACTGGATTCCGTGGTTCATATAATTCTGACAAAAAATACTGCAGCAAGGCGTCAGAACGACGGGTTAGCAATGCTGACGTTTTCACCAATTCGCAGTTGAAATCGTGCATTCCATAAATTCACCAGATGTGACTGAATGAAACATCCTAGCGGCATCTTAACACCCAAAAGCTTCGTCATGTAGATTTGGGATGTGGCAGCCTCGTGGGCCAAATTATTACGTATAATTTCGGTGCATTCCTGATCTGGAACATGGAGTGGCCTCACATGAAGATCAAACATCTCACTCATTATTCCGAAATCAAATAACCTTATCTAACTTGTACCGACTGATGTTGAAGCCCGCCGCATTACATTTGGAGTGGATCAGAAACCTCGAGGAGACCATTGCGAATATGTTGAATTCCATTAATCGTATGCTTTATTTTTATACATTTGCCACATATATCGAGAACAAATTGTTTCATTATTCTCTAAAATATCACTGGCCATCATAGACGTCGTCAGAACAGTAGCGCAGCGTGAAGCAAACATTGGCTTCATTTGAGCAGAAACCCTGATTGCGATTACTCTTCTCTCAGGCGTGTCCAAGTGTTGAAACAGTAGCTTGTACCTGCAGACAGGAAGGGGTAGTAGAATTTAGTATCGCTCTATATGATCGGTTATTCTTTCGCTGCCGATACAGTCGAAGACTTGCATGTGGGAAGTGAAGTTTAAGAAATATAACCTCTGCGTTTCTCACATTCCTTAGAGTTGTGAAGGAAATATACAGCATGCTCCATGAAATTGGAAGTTTCAAATAGTCAACGAAAGATCAAGTGTTGCGTTATACTGACAGACCATTGCTGACTCATAGAAACATAGCACCTGATAGGAATTCATCACACAAGAATATAAACACTGCCAGGATTCCCGTTAGTCAGAACAGCACTACAGATTGACTCGTTCACATTNAACGAAATCGAGGCGAGTTCGAATCAGCAAACGTCGGAGTTTGGTTGCTCGCAAATTAGAAATATATCGGGATCTAAACCAAACTCTACCATGCTGAACAGCACAGACAAAATACCGTAAAATCGAGGAGAAGTAAGATGGTACGATTGCAAAATACGAGCAGAGCAGCGTATGCATGGGTTAAAGATATTGGTATTAGAATGCGTCTTCGGCTCTAACGCTTCTCAGGACGCATAATCACAGCCTCACGAAAAATGAACACGTAGTCACTGTGGTCGAGATTGTTAGACAAGCAATGTGTTCTTGGATAACGCGGACCTAATTCACGGTGCAGGTGGATGCGTGGAGACTGAGTGAACAGTATTTGATAAGCGATGCACCTAACATCCAGATGAACTGAACTTCCGAAAATCCAGAATTCCTGCGGACACCCAGAAGCATTCAGGATTAATGTGAATTTAAATGAAATTTATTGGAGGAAAACTTCACCACAATTATTTCGATAAGCGAATCGTTCCATTCATTGAAAATAGCCAACAAAAAGAAGTACGGGAACAGAATGGGTCTCCAGGATCAAAAACTCTCACAGGTTGACAAGTCTTCCACGACCGAACCGCCAGGATATGTGAACAGAAAGAAAACCAGAATCAGTGATAATGTCTTTAACTTTAATTAGCAATGAGGACAGAGGAACTACGAAATTTCGACGTAATATAAAGATTGTCGCGTTGGAATTAAAAAGTGAGTAGAGTCAATTCAGATCCCTTCATGATAGCAGATATTTCATAAGAAACGAAAATTGAGGTCTATCTGAACGGTCCGATCCATGTAGAATAATTCCTAGTGGCACTTTGAAGATCATCTGGTCCGCATTTCTTTTCAGGAAACCATATGACCTATAATAAGACAAAAGTGCACTCCAGAATACTAACCTAATAAAATTTTGACCATTCAATAGCAACTGATCTTTAGTAGAAATGGGGTCAAAGTTGTTAAAAAGTGATTTGGCGATAATCAGCTACGAGGATAACGGAAGAGAATACGTTGCATTAGAGCAAACATTGTTTATAAAGCAAAAGTCCCAAATTTAATAATTTCCAACACGTATAAATTTGAGAAGAGCGGAATCACGTCCGTTCTTCGCGCACATCATCGCGACCAGCGTTTGATGTGTCCACCGCAGCCATTTGTTGTACGCAAAGTATATATATAAGCTTTGGCCACAGAGGTCGCGTACTGAATGAGCAAACCAAAGCAGCGAAAAGCTCACTCGTTCATAGCAGTTCATGAATTCATATGGATCACCGGAAAATGTGCCCTCAAGAGAGCAGGTACCAAATCAATAATTTTGCTTTAACCGTGTATCCCTAGTCCAAAACTTCGCCAGTGGAACTCAGTTTCCTTTGACCAGTCGAATCCTTCCTTCCGAGATAAGCTCAAATTTTCATTGAAGGGTCAGATACTCTTAGATTTTTAGCGAAAAATTCCTTAGCATAATTAGTGCACACAACCTGAGTGTTCCTAGTTTTAAGTGAGGCAAGTTATTACATTGAAATTTAAAAAAAAACATGCCCACCTGGATCTTATTTGCTCACTGTGTCGCTAAGAGATTTCGCATTCTGACTCATTTACGCAGGATCGGCTTAGTATCGCAAATGTACTTTGGAGAATGACAGTTGATCCCGCATTGAGTTGCTCCCCGGTTATCCACTAGAGCATAGGATGGAATGCTTCCCATAAAATGAGATGAGTGCTACAGATGCTCCTAAATCAGTCGCTCCATACAAGTGAAGTAATCAGTCGGTCGAATCAATCGAGGTTGATTCGTGCCTAGCTGAACATGGGAATACAACCACGATAGGTGGCGTGATTTGGCACGGTCATACACAAATAAAATGAATAATGCCCCATGCTTTGCCGTCTGATGATGGATGGAGTAAGGACCACTCACATTGAAGGAAAAAGTGAGCAATGTCTCAATTGGGCGCATGTTACATTTCCAGCTAGATAGTGTGTGTTGCACAAACTCATCCGATTAGGGTCATTAACACCTCCCGATCTAAAGAAACTCTTCATGATTTAAGCACCCCAGTTTGATGGTCTGCTTTCTCATTTCGACCAGAAATGTTACAGTCTGTTGATAATAAACATCAAAAGAATTCCGCTGTGACAAAATGTATAAAGTTGGGACAGTGTAATTGAGCATCCTGATTCGAGTGACCGACTCCTATAGAATGCACCTGTACGCCGTGACAATTTTGGGTGGACTTGTATGTACACAAGTTCTGGGTGAGTTTCTCAGTTTTTCAGACCGGATCTTCCCACGGGGCTTGTTCTAAGTGGCCTGCCAACCGCACTTCTCCTATTTAACGACAATCATTCGCTTTCAGCAACATTTGCAAACGCTTTGCAGTATCGTTTTCTCAAGATATGAGCGCATAAATAGTAACAGAATATTCAACAAAGACATTGTGTAAAAAAGTTACTTAGTTACACACACATCAGTGCTTTCGCACATCCTGAGTTCTGATTGGATAGTGAACCGACAACGGACTGCTTGTTGTTTTGTGAAACACCTTCTTGCCATCCAACGCATGAACACGTCTTGTGGGATGGTGAGCGATCTCAATCACGTGTCTACCTGATTTTTCAGGACAAAGTTAGTGCTCAGGCCGATTTCGATAGTGAACCATCTAATGTTTCGAGAAATCGATTTGGTTTTCACGAGAGGCTTAAACGAATCTCAAAAGGTAGCTGAAGAAGGGTTGCAGTCGAAAATTTTTCGGCAACCTTGTGAGTGGTTTAATCTAGGCTGTGGTTTATGGATTTCGAGAGGGCCTGGTTGATTTGTTCCTGCCAGCTTGTTGTGTCAGTGGTTCTATAGATGGATTTCAATGAAATTAACTGCGGCCAAACCAAGAGCTATTATTGGCTTGGACAATATTGTCCAAATAATGCAACCGAATGGTCACATTTAAACCGTCGCAAAAGTCACGTTAGCATCACCATGGTTGGAACCTTGACCTTTAAACGATCTCTGAGGATTATCGGTACATAGCGACAGCAATTTTCCAGCGCAAACGTAGAGCGCAGCAAACCTAAGACCAAATTTCTGGCAAGTTGAGTTCTTTAAATGCGGCGAATGCAGCAAGGGAGCATTCTCGCATTTTCTGGATTCCCTGAGTATCTCATTCCAATTGGAATCGTAGGTGCATACTGCGCTACGTGACATATGTGTGTAGAAAGCACTCACAATTTCTGAGACTGGAACAGGGTTTTGAAAGCGAACAGTGGGACTTTAATCGTTCACTGCCAATGGCAAACCGGAAGTGTCCAAATGTCCGGGTGGTTGTCGGATCCCAAGTGGCTTGGTAAATTCAAGTCATTCAGCTGCGATTTCTTCACGCGTATTTTGAGCCCACCTCAGTCTCGCGCTTCTAGATCAATATACAAAACTTTGGCCAAATTATTTGAACTAACTGAACTGAAGCCAGCCGACGCAAAAAGCACCCACGTGGATACATTGTTCACAATTCGAATGAGTCGCCTAGGAACGAACAAACCGTATTACCTGCAACTGTGAGCGAAAATGCCGAGCAAAGAGAAACCATCCCTGAGAATTTCGAGGCCACAAAGGAGGTTTCTGCAAACTCCTCGGCCAACAATTCAGAACAAATTCTACCTTCAAACGGGGACGCAAATGGAGCTGATTCACGAAGCCCTAGCATACACAACCCAAGACGGCCGATACAGCATGCGGAACGATGGAGGTCAAACGTCGATATAATACTTGAAAACCCGGACACCGTCGTACTCAACGAGGATTCGGACGGGGATCCCCAACCTGACTATCCGTGTAGCTACGGTAAACTGAGAACCCTGGTCAACACAGTGAGGAATGCTGAATACGTCTTGGAGGATGTTATACTACATTTGAAGCGAACCAGAAAGCTCGAGAAAGTTGTTTCGACTGTATTGAATTCTGTTGATCGCATACTTCGTGGGACACATCTACCCATGTAGTTCGCTCAATCGCTTGAAATTATACCAAAATTATTTCCACTCGAAATGGGTCTCATGACGTTTTAAAAATTCGTTTCAGCAGAAAACATCATTTGCATTTACAGAACGTGCCGCATTCCTAGGAACTGAAAGTGGTACTGCCGAATGAGACACTGATGCAATCGAACGGATTGATGTTGGTAGATTGTGTATACCATTCGAATGGCGTTGTGTCTCGCCGAGTGCGATGGTTCCAGACATCGATT